AATGAAGCTCCTCTTTCTTCAGCAGGCATCAGTGGGAGCCCCTTCAGGTTGGCTCCTGTGTCCCTTTCACATAGTCTCAGGAGTCTTTGATAGCTTCCTTGCTTGGGGGCTCAAGGTGTCCCAGACTCACTGAGCTATTCTCCCGCTCCAGCAGCCGACCATGGATCCAGGCAGCACCTGTTTTTTTCAGTGGGAAATGAGACTTAGCAATCACATCCCAGATGTTCAAGCTGGATTCAGAAAAGGCAGAGGAACCAGAGATCAAATTGCCAACATTTGCTGGATCATAGGAAAAGCAAGAGAGTTCCAGAAAAATATCTACTTCTGCTTAATTGGCTACTCTAAAGTCTTTGACTGTGTGGATCACAATAAACTGTGGAAAATTCTTCAAGAGATGGAAATACCAGACCACCCTGACCTGCCTCCTGAGGAATCTGTATGCAGGTCAAGAAGCAATAGTTAGAACTGGACATGGAACAACAGACTGGTACCAAATTGGGAAAGGAGTATGTCAAGGCTATATATTGTCACCCTGCCTATTTAACTTATATGCAGAGTACGTCATGAGAAGTGTGCTGGATGAAGTACAAGTTAGAATCAAGATTGCTGGGAGAAATATCAATAACCTCAGATATGCAGATGACACCACCCTTATGGCAGAAAGTGAAGAAGAGCTAAAGAGCTTCTTGATGAAAGTGAAACAAGAGACTGAAAAATTTGGCTTAAAACTCAACATTCAAAAAACGAAGATCATGGCATCTGGTCACATCACTTCATGGCAAATAGATGGGGAAACAATGGAAGCAGTGACAGACTTTATTTTCTTGGGCTCCAAAATCACTGCAGATGGTGACAGCACCCATGAAATTAAAAGACATTTGCTCCTTGGAAGAAAAGCTCTGACAAACCTCCACAGCATATTAAAAAGCAGAGACATTACTTTACCAACAATGGTCTGTGTAGTCAAAGCTATAGGTTTTCCAGTGGTCATGTACAGATGTGAGAGTTGGACTGTAAAGAAGGTTGAGCACCAAAGAACTGATGCTTTTGAATTGTGGTGTTGGAGAAGACTCTGGAGAGTCCCTTGGACTGCAAGGAGATCTAATTAGTCAATCCTAAAAGAAATCAGTCATGAATACTCATTGAAAGGACTGATGCTGAAGCTGAAGCTCCAATACTTTGGCCACCTGATGTGAAGGGTCGACACATTCAAAGAGACCCCGATGCTGGGAAAAATTGAAGGCAGGAGGAGAGGGGGACCACAGAGGATGAGATGGTTGGATGGCATCACTGACTCAATGGACATGAGTTTGAGCATCTTCCGGGAGTTGGTGAAGGAAAGGGAAGCCTGGTGTGCTGCAGTCCATGGGGTCGCAAAGAGTCAGACATGACTGAGCAACTAAACAGCAACAACAACAAGGCTATGAGGATGCCATTGCTTCCAGGTCCTTTGCTGCAGATGGAGGTGCCCAGATAGTATGTTTCTTAGGGAGCTCTCTTGGGATCAACAGCCGTTGAGGGAAAGGATTGGACTCAGGAGAAGTCAGCCCACGATGCAGTCAGTGACTCCAGAGGCAGCTCCCCAGCTGGGAGGGTCTTTCAGTGCTGTCCTGTGCTGTGGACCCAGAACAGGCCTTTATTTCCCTGGATCAGGAATTAGATGTGAGCTTTGGGACTTCCCTGGTGGTCCAGTGGCTAAAACGCCATTCTCCCAATGCGGGGGGCCCTGTTCAGGCAATTAGATCCCACATGCCTCAACTAAACATTCCGCATGTTGCAGCGAAGACCTGGTGCAGCCAAATAAATAAGTAATAAAAATAAAAGCTTTAGATGTGAGTTTTTCTGAGAAGGGGGTCTGACCTTGGTCAAGAATATCATCTTCAACTGAGGCAACTCCCAGAAAGGGATGACAGGTGACTTCAACTGTCTTCTAATTTTTCTAATTCTCTCCTCAACTGTGTCTAATATTCTGTTTGAATGAGTTTTTAATTTCCACTACTTGATTTTTTGTTTCTAGAAGTGCTATTTGTTTTCCCCAAACCTTTCCCTTTCTCTGTTTTAATAGACATTCATTCTCTTTGTTACTGAACCTAACTCAATTCTGCTCACCCTGTGTACAGAAAGACCAGTCTACCAACACCAGGTTGTGGTGAAGGAAAGTCCAGCATTTATGGCAGGTGCCAAGCAAGCAGTCCAGGCAGCTAGTGCTTAAAAGACCCCAATCCCCCCAAAGGCTTTGAGGAAAATATTTTTAAAAACAGAGTGAGGGAGGAGGGTTGTTGGGTATGTGATCAGCTTGTGGATGACCTTCTGATTGGTTGGTGGTGAGGGAATCAGGAGTCAACATCATCAACCTTCTGGTTCTAACTGATCTGGGGTCTCCATGCTTGTGGGCAGCAGGCAGTTAACTTTTCCCACTTGATGGGGGTTTCAGTATCAGCAAAACAGTTCCAAGGACATGGCGCAGAATATTATCTATAGCCCTTAGGAGGAACTAAAGGTCCTTGACTTTATTTAATGGTTAAACTATTATTATTATGTCTTGCTTGACTGTTTGCCTTTGTTTCTGCATTTTCTCACTTCTTTGTACTTTGACAAAGTTATGCCCTGATTAAATTTATACTTTGAAGTTTTTCTACAGAAGGCAGGTGCAGACACAGTGGGTACGTGTCCTATTCTGGGAATGCCCCATAGGGTCTTGGCTGGTTACATATTTTCATAATTCTGTTTTATTTCTCTAAATACAAGTAAATAATTTAAAATAAATGTTTTTTCTCTTATAGCATGCTGTACATCAAGGAGATCAGTCCTGGGTGTGCATCGGAAGGACTGAGGTTGAAGCTGAAACTCCAATACTTTGGCCACCTGATGCGAAGAGGTGACTCACTTGAAAAGACCCTGATGCTGGGAAAGATTGAGGGCAGGAGGAGAAGGGGACGACAGAGGATGAGATGCTTGGATGGCATCAATGACTCAGTGGACATGGGTTTGGGTGGACTCCGGGAGCTGGTGATGGACAGGGAGGCCTGGCGTGCTACGGTTCATGGGGTCGCAAAGAGTCAGACATGACTGAGTGACTGAACTGAACTGACATCGCATCCCGAGGACATACTGTTGTATAAGTAGAAGTTTATACCTTTTGATCCCCTTAACCCATTTTGCCTACACCTCTTCCCACCTCTGGCAACCACCAATCTCTTTGTATCTATGAGTTTTTTTTCTCTTAGATTCTGCATATAAGTGATTATACAGAATTTCTTTCTCTGATTTATTTCACTGCTCATAGTTATATTCAGCTTTCAGTCTGATGGCTCCAATATCTGGGTCACTTTGAGTCTAGTTGTGTTGATTGCTTTGTCTGTTGACAATGAATTCACATTTTTCCCATGTTTTTTTGTATGTCTTCCAAGTTTTGTTGAATATCAGATGCATGCATGCTCAGTTGCTCAGACAAGTCTGATTCTCTGGGATACCATGGACTGTGGCCCACCAGGTTCCTCTGTCCATGGGATTTCCCAGGCAAGAATACTGGGACGGGTGGTCATTTTCTTCTTCAGGGGATCTTTCTGACCTAGTGATGGAACTTAAATCTCCTGCCTTTGTGGGCGGGTTCTCTACTGATGAGCCAGCAGGGAAGCCCTTGAATATCAGATAGCATGTGTTAATTTGTTGTTGCTGATGTTCAGTTCTTAAGTCACATCTGACTCTTTGTGACCCCATGGACTGTAGCACTCCAGACTTTCCTGTCCTTCACTGTCTTCTGGAGTTTGCTCAAGTTCCTGTCCATTGAGCTGGTGATGCCATCCAACCATCTCATCCTCTGTCGTCCCCTTCTCCCCCTGCCCTCAATCTTTCCCAGCATCACGGTCTCTTTCAAAGAGTCAGCTCTTCATATCAGGTGGCCAAACTGTTGGAACTTCAGTTTCAACATCAGTCCTTCCAATGAATATTCAGGGTTGATTTCCTTTAGGATTGACTGATTGGATCTCCTTACTATCCAAAGGACTCTCAAGAGTCTTTTCCAACACCACAGTTCAAAAGCATTGATTCTTTGGTGCTCAGCCCTTTTTATGGTTCAACTCTCACATCTGTACGCGACTACTGGAAAAACCTCAGCTTTGGCTAGACAGACCTTTGCTGGCAAAGTGATGTCTCTAATTTTTAATACACTGTCTAGGTTTTAAACGGACATAAGCGGTGCTTCCTTCTGGGAATGGGTATGCCTTGACCCTGCTTCTCTCAGGTCATCAATGTTTGGGCGGCGGTTTGCATCAAACTGCCTGGACCTTGGTTTGGGTTTTGTTATGACTTGAGGACCTTCAGGGTACCAGTGACTTCAGATTCTTGTGGGGAGCTGTTAGCACCTTGTGCTTAGGACAAGGGCTGGGGACACAATGTTTTTGCTCTGTCCTACATTTTCAGCATCTGCTGCATTCCTATCACACAGAAGTGACCTCTACACATGTCTGCCTATCCCTGGTGAAGACTGATGCTGCTCAGGCAGCTGTGCTGGCCAGGCTGGAGCCAGGAGGACGGAGGGCTCTCTGGTTTTGGTCCAGGGTCAGCCTTGGAAGGCCTTGTGTGTCTGGGGCTGAGAGGTGAGACTTTTTTAGATCTGCCTCTTCTCACTGGGACGGCTTTATTCCCCTTTTTGTGTGGGGTGGGTTTCTGTGAGTCTCTCTGGCCCCCCTGTTGGTCATCCTTTAGGCCCCAGCTGGGACCTGAGTCCAGACCTGTTTCCCACCCTACCCGCCTCAGAGAAAGGGGAAGTCCTCCCCCATCCACAATGTGAGTCTTGAGTGGCGGCCTTGGGTGGGGACACACCCTCCCCCACCCACCACCCACTAAGGACCCTTCATCTTCAGCTGAGCTGTCAAGAGGGCTCTTTCAGGTGGGTCCTCTGTATTTAAGATTTGATTTCACCTCTGAGAAGAAAACTTCAAAATATGTGAAGATAAAACAGAAGGACAGGCTGCATTGAGATAGCATGGTTTATTTGGCCCACGTGGGGTGTGGTTTCCTGCTGAAGACAGAGAAGGACCCTGGGAACCAGGGCTTCCTCTGGGTAGGGGCAGATGCACCAGTTCACAGAAGGGACCATATCATCCTGCCACGTTCTCACCCAGGTTCAGAGGTTGGTCGATCATACTTTTCATCTGCCACATTCAGACCTGGAGGCCCCCTGAGGACTCGTGCTGGGAGGGATATAGGGGTGATCCGGTCTGTACTGGGAGCATCTGGGAGGAGGCTCGTGATCACAAGCAGGAAGGGGTGCTACAGGAGACGGGTCTGCAGACCAGCGTGGGGCGGGAGGGCTGGTAGCACCCTGAGGACTGGCAGGAGGGGGCCACATACACAGCCGGCCTGTAGCTCACAGGCAGGAACACAGAGGACTGGGAGGAAGGAGTCACACACAGGGTGGGTCTTCCAGCGTAGGTCACTGGCAGGCGTATGGCTGGCCTGTAACTCACGGGCACACAGGTCGCCTGGCAGGGGCTGGACGTGAAGTAGGTTGGTTGGCAGGGGCTTGACGTGCTGCAGGATGGCTGGCAGGAGCTGGGCACGCAGGCAGCCTGGCAGCCTGAGGAGTAGCTGGTGTGGCACATGGTGGTGTGGGGCTGGCTGGTGTTGGGAGGAGAGCTGGAGATGTCTGTTCTCTGACTCCTTCAGCAGCTTTTATACCCAGACTGTGGGCGTCCCAGCAGTAAAGAAGCACAACTGTTGACTTCCTTATGGTTGTTGCTACTGTGATTCCCCAACATCTTATTATCCTGGTGCACGCTTTCCTGTGCTATTTTCTTCCATAAATTAGTTTGGCTTTGAAGCCAGTTCCCCCTTCTGTAAACAGGATGTTCTAGTTTGCCTTTCCATGGTGTTCACATTGTTTCTCCAGGTCATCACTGTGCATAGGGCACCTCAGAATCAACTCAGAGTACTGTATCCTTTTATTCCATTTTATCTCATGCCGTCAATGAAGACTTTGAGGTTATGGTGTATTTTGAGCTTTTATTTTGCACAGGAAAACTTTGAAACAGGAGTCTGCAAACTGCAATGTGTGGGGCAAGTCTCTCCTGCTGCCTGCGTGTGAATGAAGCTTTCTGGGGCATAGCCACACTCATGTATTTAATGTGTCTAAGGCTGCTTTTCCTTACAATGTTGAGTCATTGTGAGCGAGACCATGTAGCTGCAAAGCCTGAGATGCTTACTCTTTGCAGAAAATTTGTCACCTTCTGCCTTTTTGTAATCATGCAAGAACTGATTTGCTGAGGCAGCAGATTATTCTGTGTGCTGGCAATAGAGGCATCCAGGCTCGTGAGCCCTTCAGGTCAATGGATAAATGAATGAGTGAAAAATCAATGCATGAAATCATTCCAGAGGGGGCTAAAACCCAGAATGGAAAGTGGGTTCAGCAGAGAAGTGGGTGCCACTGGGTGGTCTGTGGGCCTCTGGTGATGCTGAGCTGGCAGTGGGTTCAATAAAGTGTTAGGGGTAGCGGGTGCTCCAGGCAGAGGCAGTAAGTTGGGTGGGGGGTGGGAGGAGGTAAGGAATCTGCTGCAGAAATGGGCATGTTCCAGGAGCAGTGGGAAATCCCACAGTATGGGGTGCCAGAGAGCCAGTGTAGGGGGACAGATTCAGATTACAGAGCCCGAGGTCCAGACAGCACAACCTGGGTTCTAGAAGAAGAAAGAGTCGATGAACTTGAAGACATGTCAGTCCTAAGATATGTCCCAATTTGAAGAAGAGGGACAAAGAGGTAAGAAAAATGAAGAGTCTTTGAGACCATATCAGAAAGGCTAACATGCAAGTAATTTCAACCCCAGAAGGAGAAAAGAATGACACTGAAGCCTAAGGATATTTTGAAGAAAAAAGGGATAAAATCCCCAAATCTCATTAAGAAAATTCCAATTTACAGATCCAAGAATCATACACTGCCCCTAAGTCCCACCCCATTGGGCACAATATAAAGACCACAGATCGCAAAATGAGACCAAGCAACTTCAGAGCTTCTCCGTTTGCAGGGGTGGAACCTGTATGCATTACAGGACTTTCCAGGTCTTCCTGACTGGACATCTGTTTTGCCAGCCCCTTGAATGGTGGCAGGATTGATAACTGGTTGGTTAAGAGACAATCCATGTAAAATGCTTAGCTCAGCCCTGGTACAAACTGGAACCCTGTTGTTATGATTATGGCAAAAATGTGGCCACAGCCCCCAGTAAGGAGCCCCACCCCGAGGGATAATCTTCTGGATCACAAATCAAATGGAGGTGCTGGTGTGACAAGTGTGATTGTGCTCATGTGGACAGAGGACAGGGTGGTTAAATTGGGGGAAGACCTTGAAAATCACCATGTGGGGGCCCATTCCTGGCCTGATTCCAGAAATCCCAGGGCCACTGGGTCACCGTCAGCCTCCAGCTGAAGGAGCTTCCTGAACTGAGTCACAGCAACCAGAAGCTCCAGGAAGAGACCCTGGGGGAGGAGGAGGAAAAACAGCAGGCGGCCACAAGGAAGACACCCAGTGCCTCGTTGCCAGGACGCCAAGGCCCAGGTATAAAAGGCACCCTGGGGAGGGAGCCTCCAGACCAGCCCTGTCCTCTGTCCCGACCCCTCCGAGCCTCACACCACCATGTGTGACACCAGCTGCTCTGCGGGCTGCCAGCCGGCCTGCTGTGTGCCCAGTTCCTGCCAGCTGGCCTGCCCTGCTGTCTGTTGCCCTGCCCTGGGCTGCCAAAACCCCTGTGGCGCTCCCCACGTGGCTCTGCTGTGCCGGCCAACCTGTTGTGTGCCCGGTCCCTGCCAGGACACTTGTTCTGTGTCCAGCTCCTGCCAGGACGTTTGCTGTGTGTCCAGCCCCTGCCAGGCATCCTGCTGTGTGCCTCTGAGCTGCAAACATGTCCTATATGTCCCCGTGTGCTACAAGCACATTGTGTATGTGATTCCCTCCTGCCAGCCTTCCACGTTCTGCCAGCCCTCCTGCCCTGCCCTGGTCTGCAGACCCATCCCCTGAAGCATCCTTCCCTGCTTCTGAGCCCATGACCTGTAAGACCCCTGCCCCGTGTGCAGGATCAGAAGCACTGGGCTCTCTGACCTCCCATGAGGCGGCCCAGACACTGTCATCCTCACATCTCCCAGACCCGACTAGACCATGTTGCAGCAAGGCCACTTGGTCCTAACCAGCTAGGCTGAGGGACTCACCCATCAGTGTCCCCAGCCCCTGCCTGGGTCATCCCCATGGTGCCCACACTGACTGGTCCAGGCTCTGAGGTCTCCAGCATCACAGGCCTAATAAATATCAGCATGCGATGCTCACCAAGCATGTGATGTGTCTCCTCTAGTGTCTTTCCCTAAAATGATTCCTCTGGGGGTGGTTCCCCAGGATCTGCAAAGCCCTTCTGCAGAGAAAGCCAGGTCACAGATGGCCCTGCTGGTGACCGAGCACTGGAAGGTGATTTCTCGGCTGAGGGTCGAGCTCCCAGTGCTCAGCCATAGGGACCACACTGTCCCCTGAACTTATGAGGTCAGTCCTAACCCTGCTCTATCATCAGTTCAGTTCAGTTCAGTTGCTCAGTCATGTCCAACTCTTTGCAACCCCATGGACTGCAGCACGCCCGGCCTACCTTTCCATTGCCTGCTCCTGGACTTTACTCAGACTCATGTCCATTGAGTTAGTGATGCCATCCAGCCATCTCATCCTCTGCTGTCCCCTTCTCCTCCTGCTTTCAATCTTTCCCAGCATCAGGGTCTCTTTGAATGAGTTGACCCTTCACATCAGGTGGCCAAGGTATTGGAGCTTCAGCTTCAGCATCAGTCCTTCCAATGAATATTCAGGACTGATTTCCTTTAGGATGGACTGGTTGGATCTCCTTGCAGTCCAAGGGGCCCTCAAGAATCTTCTTCAACACCACAGCTCAAAAGCATCAATTCTTCGGCACTTTCTTTACAGTCCAACACTCACATCCATACATGACTACTGGAAAAACCATAGCTTTGACTAGANCTCTTGCTTTACTGATGATCCAATGGATGTTGGCAATTTGATCTCTGGTTCCTCTGCCTTTTCTAAATCCAGCTTGAACATCTGGAAGCTCATGGTTCATGTAATGTTGTTGAAGCCTGGCTTGGAGAATTTTGAGCATTACTTTACTAGCGTGTAAGATGAGAGCAATCGTGCTCTGTAGTTTGAGGGAAGTCACTAACTGCCTGAACTGACCCCTTCTAGGTAAAAAGGTCTTCTGCTCAGCAACTGATATGTAACCCTTACTCTTTCAGCCCCTGCCAGTCTAAATGGAAACCTGATGCTTCTCTGACAAGTGTGGCTCCTCTCCCTCCCATTGGGAGGTCCATGGAAATTCCCCCGAGATGCCCACATCTGACCCCACGACCTGTGATAAATTCCCTTACATGGACAGCAGAACAACTTTGTGGATGGGAATAAATTAAGGGCCTTGTAATGGGAGGTGGTTTTGAGTCATACGAGTGGACTTGGGAGAGGTGACAGGAGATGTGGCCACTGAAAGGGAGGCCACAGGGAGAGGAAAGCAAGACTCCAGGCCATGGGCCAAGGATATGGTGACTCTAGAAGCTGAAGGAGACAAAGAAGAGATTCTGCCCTGAGGCCCTGGGTTGAATCAGACAGTCCATCCGTGACCATGGCCAGTGAGACTCATTCCTGATCCCACCTTCACAGCTGAGAGGTGACACCTTGGTGCTGTTTCAGCCGCATGTTCCTGGTTACTTTTTAGGGAAGCCACAGTAAAGTCCAGTGTTGCGGCCCCAGAAAGGGGTGGACCTCCCTGGAGAACTCTGTCAAACTCCTGGTGATCCCCTGGGAGCCCCTCATTTGCCTGCAGAGGGCATACCTGCCCATCCCTCCTCCTTAGGAGGGTGGGGGGACATGGCACAGCTCTCTTCAGGGGCAGCTCTTGACCTTGGCACCCACATGCCTGGACCCCTGTAGCTCAGGCACCCTCTCGGCCTCTCCACCCTCTGTTGGGGCTGGAGCACAGGAGAAGATTCCTGTGACTGCCGAGCACCCAGACTGGGTACCATCTTCAGCAGCATGTGTGGTCTCAGGGACTGGAGGCCAGACTCAGAAATCAAGGTGTGGGCAGGCTGGTCCCTTCTCAGGGTGATGAGGGAGAATCCATCCTCTCTCCTGGCTCCTGACATCTCTGTGGCTCCTTGGCTTGCACAGGCCTGACCTCTGCCATCATCGTCACAGCATCTTCCCTCTGTGGTACCTGTGTGTCCAGAGTTCCTTCGTTCATGAGGACACAGTTATGTGTCTCTGTGTTAAAGCGCACCCCACTGGCATCATTTTAACTAGATCACAACTTACTCCTTGGAAGAAAAGCTATGACAACCTTAACATATTAAAAAGCAGAGATATCACTTTGCTAACAAAGGGCCATATAGTCAAAGCTATGGTCTTTCCAGTAGCTATGTACAGATGTGAGAGTTGGACGTAAAGAAGTCTGAGCACTGAAGAACTGATACTTTCAAACTGTGGGGTTGGAGTAGACTTTTGAGAGTCCCTGGAACAATAAGATCAAACCAGTCAATCCTAAAGGAAATCAACCCTGAATATTCATTGGAAGGAATCATCCTAAAGGAAATCAGCCCTGGGTGTTCATTGGAAGGACTGATGTTGAAGCCAAAACTCCAATACTTTGGCCACCTGATGTGAAGAGCTGACTCCTTCGAAAAGACCCTGATGCTGGGAAAGATTGAAGGCGGGAGGAGAAGGGGATGACAGAGGATGAGATGGGTGGATGGCATCACCGACTCAATGGACACGAGTTTGAGGAAGCTCTGGGAGGTGGTGAAGGACAGGGAAGCCTGGCGTGCTGCAGTCCATGGGGTTGCAAAGAGTCAGACATGACTGAGTGAACAATGACACCTGCAAGGATGTTTCCCAATAAGGTCACATTCAGAGGTATTGGGGGTTAGGACTCCAACATATCTTTTTGGGAGGGACACAGTGCAGCCCATCACAGGACATCTTAAAGCTGCAAGACGAGTCTGGCCCCTCCCTCATTCACCATGTGGCCTCACCGTGGCTCCCTTTGTCCTGCGGCATCTGATGTTTTGCTTCCTCAGGAACGAGGAAGGTCCAATTTGAGCATTCCACCTACTGGACACTTGATGAGCTCACTGTTCACAAAGACCCTGTCCCGTCTGGAATCCTGGCAGTTACAGGAGGAATGTGCAGGCCCGCACGTGGGGTGCCCGTGATATTCCGGGAAGGGGAAGCCGGGCCCTGGAGACAGAGGTCTGCCCCAGGAAGTGCCAACTCAGCCCCTGTGGTGTGAATGTGGGCCCTTCGAGAGCAGGGTCACTGGGGCCACCCTAGGGAGGGGTGGGGGCTTCCCAGAGAAGGGAGCCATTGGCATACCAGGGTTCCAGGGACAACCGTTTGGGAACCAAGGAAGAGTCTAAAAGAAGAGCCATCGGGGCGTCCTTCCTATCGGAAGGCACAGACCCAGAAACTCCCATCACTATGATGTCACATGACTGTGAAGATGTGAAAGAGGGAACTCTAAGAGCGCCCACTGTGCCTGGCAGTGCCTCATATGCTTCCATTCAAACCAAAACTCCCGCCAGGCCCGTTTATCTTCACCAAGCCAGGCACTGGATGTCACATCCCACCTTTCTGCTGCCCTCCCAACTACCCCCAGGAGGGTACCACTGCGCTGCCCACCAGGCGGGAGAGGAAGTCTTCACGGGTTGCTCTGGTTCACAGGATGCCTTTGGGGTTGCGACGGTCCCCGGCTGAGTCACGTGGATGATAAGGGCGTCACACTGATGGAGAGGCTCGCCTGAGATCTGAAGAGTCTCGGAGCATTTAGAAGGGTCACTTTGTTACTAAGGTGAACTACATGAACATCTTTCACCGGCTCTCCTCCCAGGTCAGCGCTGCGGCCTGACCCATATGGATGCACAGCAGAGGGAGTCACCTGCTTTGGGCTTGGTGTCACGGGATGCACACGCGGTCTTCATGGGTGCCTGTGTTGCGCTGTGCATGGCGACATCGCTATCCAGTCAGGAACCCCACAGATGCACTGCTCATCCCGACGGACGACACTGGCTTTGCTGTGGGCTGTAGATTCTGGTTCCCACGCGTGGCAATGTCGCTGCACCTCACTTTTCTTGGGTTGAGGTGAAGTGAAACCTTCTCTATGCCCTTCTTAACTCTTTGCGCTATGAAGAGTCCACCAGGGCCTTTGTCCACTTATCTATGGAGATGGTTCTATGTTATTAAAATTGAAATGAACAGGTAAAGGGTACAGTTTAGTTTAGTTCAGTTGCTCGGTTGTGTCCGACTCTTTGCGACTCCATGGACTGCAGCACACCAGGCTTCCCTGTCCATCACCAACTCCCGGAGCATATTCAACCTCATGTTCATTGAGTCAGTGATGACATCCAACCATCTCATCCTCTGTCGTCCCCTTCTCCTCCCACCTTCAATCTTTCCCAGCAACTCACTAGGTCTTTTCCAACGAGTCAGTTCTTTGTCAGGTAGCCAAAGTATTGGAGCTTCAGCTTCAGCATCAGTCCTTCCAATGAATATTCAGGACTGAGCTCCTTTAGGATGGACTGGTTGGATCTCCTTGCAGTCCAAGGGACCCTCAAGAGTCTTCTCCAACACCACAGTTCAAAAGCACCAATTCTTTAGCGCTCAGCTTTCTTCACAGTCCAGCTCTCACATCCATGCATGATTACTGGAAAAACCATAGCTTTGACTAGATG